CTGGCCTGGAGTCAATATTGACTTGGTTGGGCCTCGTTGCAAAGAGGGCATCATCGGCACGCATAAAGAGGATCCGGATCGGCCGCCGCGCCGGTCCCTTTTCGCTCGCAGGACACGCGTGACAAATGCTCCGCGCGCAAACACCAGCGCATCTGTGTCCACAGGATAACCGATTCTCTTCCGAATGGCCTATAAATCCTGGAAGTGCAGTCGCGCTGCGGAGGTCCGCCGTTCGTTTCCTATTCGACGTACCTCCTATTCGCGTTCTTTACAAGCTTCTCTATCTGACACTCCGTATCGCCCGGAGCATCACCGTCGTCAACCTGAGTTTTTACATTTATCGAGCTCTTCGCTGGAAAGACACCCGTGGCTCCTCTCGGATTTTACTTGAATAAATTTCTCCGTGGATTGTCCAAGATCCGACAATTTAAACTCGCATATCGTGATATATTGCGTGTATTATGATTTAATCTGTGTATTATAATTTAATCTGCCAATTAAAACAAAATAAGCACATGTCTTCAAATATTACGGCTCTTGATTTTTACATATGTGTAAATTATTTATCATTTAACCTATCTTGAAACGATAGACAAATATGAATTATTCTCATATTTATCACTTACATTAACCTTAGCTACACTTATTTTTCATACATGTATATGGTTACTAGACAAGGATTTGAAAAATTCCACTAGTCTTTTCATCATTGCTCGAGAAAATTATCTTACGATTAACTTTTTTTAATCGATTGTAACCTAAAAAATATGTCTATTCTTTACTCAGAAATAGTCTGAAATCATATTAAATACAAGAAAACGTAAACTTTTAGTTTATTAATTCTATTAATAATTAAAACACGAAAAGAACGATTTTGATGATGAATCTAAAAATTTAAGATATATATAGACCTAAAACTAATTTTGTTGGATCATCAAAATAATTTTGTAGGAAACTTAAGCATGATGAGGAATACTGTAAAAAAGTTTTGACGTTCTAGCAATTAATTTGAGCGTCTTACATAATTATTTTAATAGTCCAATAAAATTATTATTTTCAGATCTGTATCTAATTAAATGTTTAGATACTTCAGCAAAACCATTCTTTTCATATAAAGTTTTAAAATTTCACTGAGATTTCAGAGACCTCAGAGTGTATGTATAGCTAGGATTAATATTTCGGTTACATGTTTTCAAATAGGCCTTTAAATATCTCAGCACTTTTTTGAAAACATCAGCTTATTATTCCAGTCCTAGTATCCTCCAGCAATGTTTTCGCGAAACTTTTTACCACTGCCGAGAGAAACATTGCTGATCGCGCTATTATTTGTTCCTACATGTCCGCTGCACCGCGCATACAAATCGGATTATAAGTAAGATGCGTGCGCCAGGTGCTGTCGGTGTGTATCGAGTGCTGATTCTTAGTTGCTCGTCAGGTACTCGCTCACGGTCGTTTTAATCCGAGAACATACGTTTTTTTTTCCCAGACCCGGATGACGATCCATCGATCATCGACTCGCGGCGCGATGCGTGCGATATCGGTTTTTCGCGACGCGTGAGCGATGGGTTCGTCGTGATTCAGGTACCTGAATGACAACCAGCGTGCGAGTCGAGAGATTCCGGTGTAACTTTCCACAAACTCCTCGAAGATGTCAGGTCGACACTAAGCGGTGCGATGCTCCTTCGCAGTGTTCAAATATTCACGTATATTCTTCGATCCGACGACGAATTCTCGCTCGTCTCATTCACTCGCGATGCAGGTACATCCCGACGATCGCTCGTCCACTTTATCGCCAACCGGTTTTTATAGTACGTATCAAGTAACGGATGTTTGCGCGAAATTTTACACGGAATCGGGTGTAAGTAACGTATAATTACGCGAACGTCGCGAAAAGGGAATGTACGAAGAAAATGTCTCCACTCGCGTGTCGGAGATTAACACATTCGAGAAAAATCGAGTCGATTATTTTTCCAGTTGACATATATCTGCTTTTTTCCTTCTAAAATATCCATAAATATAAATCCAAATGATATGCAGAATGATTCTAGTTTTAACGAGTAGCTGGCGTGCAACGGATGATAAAAGTCGCTCCGAACGACACGAGAAATTTCATATCAAACGTAAAAAAAGAATTTTGTACACACCTAGCATGAGCAAAGTCTCGGGCGAAATCTCAGGTTTCTACTTAATCTGCAATATTCTTCGAACTTGATGGCCGCGTTTCAATCCTAAGAACGATTAATCAATGTGAGACACACAATTATAATTAATTTATTTTAAAATTTTAGCAAACGTAAGGGAAAAATCGATATTGCTGCATCGTAACGTGATTGTTAAATCACAATTCATTCCTCAGCATGTGTTCCTTCAATGGAAGGCATCTACGAGAGAAATCAGTGATGGCAATTAGCGCGCTCATGGCACAAACGAGAGAACGAACAGCTAATGCGTCGATATATCGGCACGTATATGCCGTACGAATAATTATTGCTTTCGTCGGTCGCTACTGGCACACTGTATGCCACTATAATACTGCTTCGAAGCCACCTTGCTATTTTAAAGGAGACGGCGACAACGACGAAGCCAGTGGTGCTTAAACCTAACATAATACTTCTTCAATTCTGTCAAGTTTTTCTGCAAGGCGTCCATGTGCGCTTATAAATATTCTCTCTTGGATTATTAATAACACCTCTATGATAAAGATCTTGATATGATAAGATCTTTAACAAATTAAAGAATTCTATAAACATGCTTTATCTATACACACTGGAAAAAATGCATGTAATTTTACATGGAAATTACATGTATATGACTGGAAAATTATCTAAATTACATAAATATGCTTGAAAATTTACTGGAAATTGTAAATTTCCAATCATATTTAGGCAATTTTCCAGTCATGATCATGTAATTTTCATGTAAAATTACATGCATTTTTTTCAGTGCAGGGTAACAAAAAAGTTCGGTCACAAAAGTTTTGTGTTCATCAAATTATTAGTATATTTACGAAAAACGAACTCTGAAGTTTTAATCATACCTAAAACTAATAATTAACATTCAAAAAATAGCTATTTTTAGCTTTGATACAAATTTTAAGGCGTTTTTAGAACGCGTCAACAATGGCCGCACATCGTTTCATAGATAAATTCTTCTAGGCAATCAATAGAGTATTTTCAGTTCACCAACGGATAAAGACCTTTTGATATATTTAATAATAATGTAACTAACACACTCCAGAATTATTTTTCTTATTAATGATAAAAATGATAACAAATAACGTCTGCTTGCTACGTAATGATTTAATAAAGACTCAGAATTGTGTAGCTAAACTTTCTTGTCATCCTGTATGTATACAAATACGTATATATAACGTATTATGGAAATTATAATGTTAATAGTTTCCGTTCAATGATTATTACAAATGGTTGAAAAAAATAAATGAAATTAAATGAAGGAAAAATAATAGAAAATAAGAATAGAGGAAAATTCAATTCTGTTATAATAGAATTTTTTAAACATTGCGTCAATTTTTCGTTACTTTGTAAAAAAATACGACGAAATAAGATTTCATTTGTAAAAAACTACGTTAGGCACCACTGTGCGACACCTCGCACAGAGGTGATATAGTTGCCGCTGCGGTTTGCACGGTTGCGACTGGCAAGCAGCTTCGATGCGATCGCATCGAGTAACTCAGCTGGCTTCCTCTCTCGAGGACTAGGACTGAGTTATGGCCCGTGGTCGCGGACACTCGCCAACACGCTTCGTCGTTTAACCCTTTGCCCGATCCGAAGTCCCGAAGCGCATTCTTGCCATCGTCGGCTTTTCCCTCGAACTCCCTGGAATCTTACGATTTCTGAGAGAGAATGGTCGGATGTATGGTTATGCATCTGGCGAGAGACCGGTTCCTTCGCCTTTACGCGCGACGCGAATGTCGAACGTATTTTTAAATCGAGAGAATTTCTTTTCTTTTTCTTTTTGTAAAATTGGCTCTATCAGTGATATTTTCATATTTAAATCGATTCGTCGATACAAGAGAAATTGTACTCTAAAACGCATTTTTTTACCCGAAACTGGAGAAACCGCTTTATATGGGTAATGCAGAATTGTTTTATATTAGCTTTATCATCGTCAATCGCAACGTGCGACGAAACATAGTGGAAATACGGTATTTACTGTACATACACACACGCATTTGGGCAACGTGCGACAGTTGGCCCTCGAAACATCGGCGACGCATCGAGGACACGCATTAACGCGACTCTCTCTCGACGCCATAATGCGTATCGCGCATGGGTTTTTCGCCCTAGCACAATGCGTACGGGGGTTTCGACAATATGTTTGGGGCCACCGAAACGAGGCAATGGATGGATGGATGGCTGGCTGGCTGGGACAATCGCGGGGAGCGTCTCTCTACGGGGTAGGGGTGTTGCACGGGGGTTTGTTTAGGTTCCCGGGCGCGAAAGGCACTCAACCCGCTAATCTATTTAGCCGTAGTGTTTGATATGGAATTAATGAGGCTCGCCGGCATTATGCCCAGAGCCCGTAGATTTTCGGTTTAGTCGTGGAAATAAAAGGGGGGAGTCTGATGCAGTTGCGTTCACCTTTTCATAACGGGGATCGCCTCTTACTATTCGCCAGCTGCAACACGTAACATGTCGTCAATACTTCGAGATTTCGTAGCGACGATATATCTAATTTTTAACGAGATATGTGCGCCTAATTCTCGTTTCTATCAATGTAGTTTAATTTTAATCTCGGTTCAACTAACTCTTCATATTTTTCTAGTTCTAAGAATCAAAAAAAGATGCAGAGTAAGTTGCACTGAGAGTAAAGTTAATCTACATTGATTGATAGAAACAAGTATAGTTTTACAAAGAATTTAACTTGAACTTGAAAAGATTTAAGTTGAATTTAACTTGGAAAAATTCTCACGTGTATGTAATCAATTAATTAAGTCAATTTTTAACTGAATACTGGATCTACGCTCTTGTTGGTTACAGTGTCCTGTGACAGTGAACTCGTCGTTGGCGCCGTCCTCGGCCTCGCCTGCCACCGGTGTGATCCTCAGCGCGGGCGGCTCGTCCCTGGTCAGCAGCGTAGCCGCCAGTACGACGACGAATCATCCCCTGGACGTAGCCGGTCTGTCGCAAGCGAGGATGGCAGTGACGAGTGCGATCGTGAGACCGCCTGGCAGTCCCACTACCTCGGTTAGCCCGTCCCAGGGTCATCCGCCACCATCGACCGGGGGTCCTACTGCAGCCAGGTGTTGCGATACCGGTCGACCGATCTTCACGGATCCACTGACGGGCCAGACCGTCTGCTCCTGCCAGTACGAACTGCTGGGTGGTTATCAGCGTCTAGGTGGCCTACCTACGGCCGCGCTCTCCATGTACAGCGCGCCATACGCGGCCGCCGCCGCGGCGGCTGCGTCCGAGGGTATGGCTGCGTACTTTCCTAGCTTGGGCGCCGAGCAAGCACCCTTCTACACGCCCACGGTGAGTCGACGCTATTGAGTGTACAATGAAACGAAAAGGACCGAGGTGAAAGTTCGTGAAATCAAAATTCGACAGTTTTATGCTCGCGTTTTTTCTTTCCATGACTAGCGAAGGATTTTTTTTTTTCATTTTGTGAGAACTTCGCATGCATTATTTCCACTAAAATATATAACTTATAATCGCGCGTTCACACGGTTGAACTGCGCCGCGCGCGATAAGCTCGACACTAGTCTTTGAATCGATTGTAACAGTATTTTGTCGCAACGGGATATGGTGTAAACTTTCCAGAATTTCCTCGCGGTGCGGAGAGAGTAGCGTATCGACAAGCCTGGGAGAGAGATAATATCGATGCACGACTGGAGTAATTCGTGAAACAAAGGATATCGTGGATTTTACGATTTCATCGATGATAACATAACCCGGAAATTCTGAATTTCGAATAGCTGTATTCCATGGCTAGTTATGTTTATTTCTTTTGTTAAAGACGAAACAAGCAAATGTATTATATGATATAGTGTATTTTATGTAACTCATCTTGTTTGCCTTGCATAATATTATAAATAGACTCAAGCGGAAATTCTGAAGATGCTAAATGATACGAATAGCCTAAGATAATTATACAATCAGCAATTTCCATTATTTGATTTCCTGTAAGCAACTACGTAACAAATTAATTTAGCTTACGCATGTGTAATTACTATTAACAATAGAATTAATATCACACCGTTGGACAAAGTATTGAGTTAACTCATTTAGAAGTTTTAAAACGAAGCTAAATAAATATGTATATCGCCGATATGCTGAATATAGCGTAGATAAGAGATTGAATAAGAGATTGGATAAGAGATTGTTTTATTTAAATATTGTTCTATCTAAATATAGTATTATTATACAAGTACTCAATCAAAATATGATCGTGTGAACCGATTTAAAGATATTATAAACCGTTAAATATGACAATCCTTTATAACGCATTTACAATTCTGTGCAAACATTTTTGTCAATGTCGCGTATAAGAAGACTCCTTTATACTCTGAGTAAAAATTACAACAATTCTGTCGATGTTTTCGGATTCTACTTGCATTCTTTCAAATGCTTCTCGAACATGGCGTAAAGTACTAAAAGGTTAATATCTGAACGTAGTCGAGTTCATTGGAAGCTCGGGATGCGAGGTTTCTCCTCGCAGTACTTCCGCGTTCCTGCGCACCGTTGATCTCAGATCGTCGAAACGTTCAACATAACTCTCCAATATCGATAAATGCTTCGTGCGAGCCGGCAATAGTAGCGACGTTATATTCCGCCGTAAAATTTTTATCACGCGGATTAAATCCCAGTATGAACGAATTTCTATATTTCTGTATCACTGAGTGCAGATTAAATTCTGATACGAATTTTTATATTCATGGCTTCGTTGAATGTTTCGAAATGACGTGTTTATTTAGCGGATTAACAAAGTTTAGCGATCCAATTTTTTCGATGTGACGCAATTCGTACCTTTCGTTTACGCATGCAGAAAAAAAAGCGCTTCTTTTCGTTTCGCACCGTTACTCTTTTCTCGTGCAGCGATTCGCGATGTCATCACGAATAGGTGGTGACTAGGGAAGAGTTATTAATGTGTAATCTAGAAGAAGTGCTTTTGTGTGTTCGTCTATGCGTTGGACAAGCGTTATCGGACCACACGCGAAACGTGTACGAAGAAATAGCAACGAAGCGAAAATTTATGAATCCATTCTACCGTAACAGTAGGACACTGTCGCGTATTGCCGAGTCGTTGTCACTAAGACCGAGTTGTTATCGTCGCTCTTTATGATCGAGCTTAAGGGGTGCGAGTATATAGCCATAGCCTGTTCATAACGAGGCAGCAGATTGTACAGATCGCGCACCGACTACGCAACGTTCGTGATATTACCTGTATAAAGTCATTAAGTATCGCTTTTTAAAGAAAACGTTTATCTTCTAACCCCCGCTCTATGTAAATTCGCATTTACGCTGTTCATGATGATTATCTGGGCTGCGGTTCCGTAGATTTATGTAGCGTAATTCCTGTCGCAAACATTGCTTTTTGCAAAGCCCCGAACGTTATCGTGTAAAAACATTTCGTCTGTCATTTTGTGTATATTTCGGATATCTACTGATATTAATCCTTCGACTGCAATCATATTTTTACTTCCTCCGTCTGCAATCTGGGTTTTTTCCGGTCAGCCTAAGTTTTTTTTAATGTTCTAGGGTTTTAGAAAAATTCAGGGTTACTTTTCAACATCTCTATTACATTACCAAATAGTTTTTGAGGAGGAGAAATAAGACTCCTTTATGTTGGAAATTTAAGTTAAAAACTCAGATTTGATTAAAAAACTCAGATTGGAGACAGAGGATTAATAACATATCAAGTTAAGATATTATTATGTATGATACATATGTATGTCATGCAAGAGAGAGAGATTCGTCATTTATTTAGCTAACGGCTTGGGAATATATTCCTTTAAAGCCCGTATTAGATTACAGGTTGACGATTTCGGTTTGATGGCTGCCTCGTTCTATTTCAGCCGATCATGATGGACTCGCTGCATCATGATTGGCTGAAATAGAACCGGGCAACCGTTAATCGCAATCGCCAACCCGTAGTCTGATATGGACTTAAAGGCAAAAAAGCTCTTAAAAACAAAAATATAAAATGAAAAATGTATTTAAGTAAAACTTTTGCTTAATTATGAAGTGCGATAAAAAGTAATATATAACACAAAAAGTTAGAAAAAAAGAAATTCTTTAAAAAAAAGAAAAAGAATTTTAAAAGAATAAAGAATACTTAGGATATATCAAAACGATTTTATTCAATATTATATTGAGTCAAGTTTTCTTCGGAGAGGACGTTTTATAGTCCTAGCAAAGAATATGAGAGAAAGAGAGAGAAAGAAAGAAAAAACCTTTCATAGCCTATTATACCCGCTAGATAAAATACAGCAGAAATTTAATAGTGACCATCCTGTCGTATAAGCGAGGTCATGGGTTAGAGAAGCAAACAAGAGAGCCACACACATCGATCCTAATTATTATTATCAGCGCTTTGCCAGCTATTCTTTCATCATCGTTGATGCATCAGAGATCTGGCCGAGCCATGCGACCGATACGAACTAATTGCGACGTTCGTTCCGAAAAATGGATCTCTTTCGAGCAATTAACCGCATTCTGCGCGATTTCATTTAAACGTCGTGATAACGAGTGACCGGGTTCGGAGAATGCATATACATATGCGCGGTAATAATCGAAATAAATCCATGACGTGCGCAAATCAGCATGGCCACTTGAAACAACTTGTATGTGTTTCATACGTATATATGCATTAATAGCCTCGAAAAAAACTATATAGCATAAAACTGCTCAAACTTTTTCGACGTAAAACAACTCGTACAATAATTACTCTTATTGCTGTCGTTAATTCGCCGATCATCATCTTTCACCTCATTCCTTTATTACCTTTTTGTATATTACTTTTTTATATATGTCATAATAATTACGCATGCTTGGCAATTGCAGAATTGAAATATTAAGATATTTATTTGTTTATACGCTGTTACAGGCCACCGGTCTAGATCTTAAAGAAAATCTGGGCGCTGGAGCCGCAGCAGCGTGGCCTTATCCCTCGATGTATCACCCTTACGATGCTGCTTTTGCGAATTACCCCTTCAATGGGTAAGTCTTGTAAATATTTTCCGAATTATTCGCTGCACGTATTACATGCATTATACATTTAGCGTATATTGATTTCGCGTATGACGTCGATATCTGTTATGTATATAGATTCAAACACGGGCCAAAACAACAACCATTTAATTAGATAACAAACTGCATCTCGATGCAAACAAGCTAGACGATTTCTGATTATCGTTTTAAACGGAAGTGTACAGTTGCCGAAAAATTGATTCATTGATTTAGATAATGTCTAACCAGTTAATATCAGAAAAATGTATTCTCATAAAGAGCGAAGGCAATCTGAGCGAAATAAATGTCACGTACCATATCAGCTTTCATAGAAAGGTAAAAATGTTCCGAAAGATCCTCGCGAGTGATAGGAAATGTCACGCTATAATTTTATTTATCTCCTTGGTGTTGAAACCTTACAGCAGACGTGATAATTATTTTAATGCCACCGGAACAGTGTTATACAGAAAGGGTACTCCTGCTCTATAGCAAGAGTATAGTGTTCTTTTGCAAATCTATAAGACGCAGACGAATCTTAATTACCCCGTAATCTCTGCGATGCATTATGTATTTTCAACGTCGACGCACTTTAATGCCTTTTCCGTCGCGAGAAAGGGAAAAAAAGAGAGAAAGATCAGGTTGTATGTGCTCCTTTTCCTCTCTACGTCGATACGCTGGTGCACGGACGGAGATAAGACGGCGAGAGAAACACATAAACATTCCAATAAATTAGCGCTCAAGTGACCCGGGGCTGTCGCCACGACGCTTTTTTTCTCGCGCACTTGGAATCGGTCGCGGCGTGTCTGACGCGGTCGGCGAAAGGTCTTGTTTGATAATTTCAAGTCGGATCACCGGGATAATGGAGATTAGAAATTCGGAGAAAGTATCCGGAGCAGCGCAAGCGACGCGACGCAACGCGACGCGACGTTGGGAACGATTGACGCGAGGTCATCCGAAATATCGATAATTAGCCCGCTTAGTCGCATTTCCGGGATCTCCAGTTTACGAGATTGTGGCTGACTCGAAAAACTTCGTTATAACGGCATGCATTTCATGCACGAACGAAGAGTTATTGCGCGTACACACGATGACTGGCTCGTATCTGTGTAAATATGACCGATAATATAAATTACTGTTGGACATTAGCCGGTCCACGCTTGAAATATCTCTGTATGAATTATAGTCGAGTCACTTTCGATCATAGCAAATATGGGCCTCGATCGCTAATGAGACTTTGATTGCTTTCCTTTTGCAATTGACACTTTTGATACAAATCGACAAACATTGCTTTCCATTTATAATTTTGCTTAAACTCAATCGTTACTTTTCGACACTGCCCAGAAGGAGAGTCGGAGTGTATTTATATTTAAATATGATTTTTTTGGTCGATTGAACCAATATTAGAACGTACAAACCAGCTCCTACCGTTTGTAATATATGTACATTGGAAAATACACCGTTTGATAAATTTTAAACTAATTGTAAATTTTGTAAGGCTAAGTATTAAAAATTCGCACACACTTTACATATGGCGTTCCATTTAATTATGGCAAATTGTATTCGAGTGTATTAATTCTGACCGATTGAACGATATTATAGAACGTACCAACGCGCGAATCAGCTTTTATCATTTGTAATATGCATACATTGAAAAACACACCGTTTGAGAAATTTTGAGCTAATTGTAAATCTTATGTCTATAGCATTAAAAATTCGCACTATGCATATGGCGTGCCATTTAACTGTGGTGAACTGTATTCGAGTGTGTTAATTTGATCGATTTATGTCTCCTAAAAGGAAAATAGCCTTTATTTTTAAGGAGAAAATGTCTCAGTCGCATATAATGCGACTGGTGCAGTCTATGAAATTCTATTCTAAGCGTTACTATCACAGTATTTATCTTTTTCCACATAATATCTATAACGCTGACTCGTGTCAACAAATTGATAAAGATTCAATTTCCAGCGTTCTTTTACGTCAATGACGTTGATCGAGGCGTTCGATATCCCACTGCTTCTCGGGGGAAAAAAAAAAATATATATATATGTATATAATCGACGGTCACGTATTTCGCCATGACACGAGGAGCGGGAGAGACGCTCCTCTAAAGGCGAAGCAACGAGCCTGGTTGACAACAGTGGTCAACGCGTGGAATCTATACTATCATGCGTGACGCACTTCCGGCGATGGCTGCTTCGTATGCAAGGAAGCGATCGGGTAATACAGCTTGCTTAGCATCCATTCGCTCTAGTCGTGGCCGGGCGACCGTGGTCCTCCTTTACGGGGACCCACCGCGCCGGATCTGTGGGCCCTGCGCCGCACCGGAACTACACGCGCGAGTTCTATGGATTGTCAACAGGCGATACAGGCGGCAGCCGCGAAGCAATCGTAGCTGCACCTGCGCCGGCTCTGGACAAAGACACTAAATGGAAATCGGAAATGTCTTCCTTTCGAAGTAAAATTTTGTATGTATTTCTCGGCTTTCCAGCAAGAGACTCAATGTAACACCGAGAGGGGTACTTAACCACTTAATGTAATCATGGGACAGAGTCCTCGAAATCATTATAAAATTCATATGAAATCTCTATGTATAATCCGATAATTACATATGCATACTGAGAGAAATGTTTTGTATCAATAACCAAATTTTGTTACTGACACAAAAACTATTTGTTGATATATGATCAATCAAATCGTTACTTACCACGACAATATTAATTTGTTGAATTTATTAAAAGAACTAATAATTTAATGATATAAAACTGTTTTGTATGATATTTATAGATCTTTTGTAATTAGAAATAGAATATTTTGTTACCGGAACAAAACGGTTACATAAGAATAATATACCTATATCTTTCTACAGATTGAAATTATGTTTGACGTTTTTGAATTTCTTTAGCAAAAGTATATATAGATTCAGATCAATTAAGATTACTAATCACTCTGAAAAAATGGTTGTTATTATGATTGGTCATGGTGTGGCGAGAGCCGAGAAGTCCACGAGAGTAGTCTCTAATCGTCCCAGCTTTATACAGGTAGACATTGAATTTCTCTTGCGAGAAGACACGCCATCTCTGACAGCTCCGCGAAACGTTCCTCGTTCTACTATAGTGGATTATTTTGTTGAAATTAATAAAAAAATATTCATTTTGTAATATGGTAACTAAATTTTACATGATTATTTACAAAACGTAAGTAACCAAATAAATTTGTACTGTTAAATAAAAAAATTTTATTCATTTGGCAAAAAAATATTGTATTTTGTAATTTTAACAAAATAATCCCATGATAATCGGCCATTTGTGAATAATTTTCTTTTTTTATTACCAACACTATATCTTTTTTCTCAGTACAACGACGAGAAATCATTGTATATTCAATATTAAATAAAATCGTATATTTATCAAATTACTTCATATGTAGTGAAAAAAATTATTTGTTATTAGGTGAAATCATATGAAATCATATGAAATCATGTAATCTGTGGGACAATATTTCAGCTAATGGTTATCCCCTCGTGTAACACAGTGATCATTTCATCTTTATGTAATATTGGCAAACCACAAGAATGTAATGATTCACTGCGTTATACTGGTGTCATCTGTGTTTCTTACTGAAAAGCATCCTTATCAGATTCGCGGAGGATTGTCGAAAGAACAACCGATTCTTTTTCCTTTCTCATGAAATTATGCTTATTTAGCTAATGCACGTCTACTCAGAAAGTTTCGTGCGCGTCGGCGACACGCCCCGTTCTCGCGTTTCCTTCGCATTTCGAGACGAACGGATTTGCACGACAAACGTGAAAGCTTTCCTTGACTCGTATATAAAGCGCATTATATTCAGCCCTTTATCGAATTGTATGCACGCGATATCTTTTAACATCGTGCCATGTAGGTGAAGCTAATAAGAAATGCTTACATTGATGTTTAAGAAGCAGTGTGCGATGCCTGAGGTGCCCGTTATTGTGAACGCCTATTATATCTTATCATTAAAAGGAATGTATTAATTCCATTCTTTCTAGCTCTTGTTTTTGCAACAGCCGGAAGCGAAAAAGAACTGACTTTAAAGTTTAAAATGCTCACTTTTGTTTATTCATCATTCTTCTGCGTGCATTACTACTTTGTATCACATATTATATACATATAATTTTCTTGTAGACAGTTTCTTAGCATCTAACTTTCTCTTCATATTTTACATCGTCTAAAGCGCAAGGAATATTGCATTATCTTATTGCATTATCTTATATTAAATAAAAAACGTATATCTTTTATATATAATTACTCTCTGTATTGTTAATTATTTATATTATAAAATTATTCTTTATATTATTTCTTGTAACGCGGAAAACTACCATAAAGTTATTTTTATCAACCACGTGATAGTTATATCAACTCATTTCTGTAACTAATTCCATGGTGAAACGATAATTATTATTATTATTCTCGTCAGTGATGGCAAAGATATCGTGCGAAACGTTTCGGTAACGCCTGGCCCGGAACTATCCCTTAAATCGGAACCGGGAGGTGCGAAGGATCTGGCGCATTATGCGCGAGCGTGCGCGACGACCACTTAACATGAGCATACAAAAAGCCAATAATGCAGCGTTGGCATGCACGACCGCAAGGTCTTGGGATCGTACGGGTTAACGGTCTCGTCTTTCCGGCGGATTGGCCCTGCTTCCGGAGACATATAGGGTAGACAATAAGAAAGCGACGAACAGGTCCCTCTGTCGTACGGGCAGAGGCCCGCTTACGTCGTTTCGCGCGTTCTATGTCCGGCATATCGTTGAGACCGATCGCCGATATGTAGTATTATTAAGCGTGTCCGTACAACGACTCCGATGTGTCGGCACGCGCTTCGAGTCTCGAACGAGTATCCCGAGGCACGGCACGAGAATTCTAATGTACCTACGCGAAGTCATCAGATATGAACGAGCGCGGTTATTAATGGAGAAAAGAAGATTCTTCGTAGAACTATATTTGTTCGTT